TTCCATGGAAATCTTTGAGTTGTTCTTCTAAGTCATTACCTAGACAGCATGCATGAGAAATAATATTAAAAATACTTGTATTTATAACACCTATGATTAAAAATTAATAATCTAAGGACTTACATATGTTACAGGTGTTACGGATGATGGTTGGTGTCAACATCTCAGATGAGCAGCTTGGCAGCATTGCTGACAGGACAATCCAGGAAGCCGATCAAGATGGGGATTGTGCCATCTCCTTTGCAGAGTTTGTAAAGGTTGGTAAATTACATATTTGACACAAGTAAATGCAGCTGCTTAGTAAACAGACAGATCATTCAGACTTAAATGCAGATGGAAAAATAAGTTGTTGAAGTATTTCTTCTGCTTGCATTTGGCTTATTAGGACAGATGTTTTTTAAGCTGTTCTCTTAGGGTGCAAATAATTAGTCCATGTTTCTCTCGTGTAAGCTACAGCACTGAACATACTGCAGAATTTTCATCTCATGCGAAGACTACTTCAGGCATCTGATCCTAAACGTATCTTGTAGAATAAGGTGTTAATGAAATAGTGACAAGAGCTTAAAAATGAGATAATATACTCCCGAAACCAGCTCATAATGAGGCAACAGAGATTTGCAATGCAGCAAACAATGTAATATTATAAATGCTTCTTTCTACACAAATAGCCTGACTAGCAGTAACAACAAAGTAATTCTGTATGGTTGTGTTGGTCCAATTTCACTTTATATTTTCTGTTACACAACCAATTATATACTAACATACAGACTCCTAGCTGTAGTCCTGTTAATTGCATCTCCTGATGGTTGCAGGAATAGCTAGCAGTAAGGAGCCATTATGTAGTCAGCAGAAAAAAGTGGTTCTCCAAGTAACAATTTTAACGTAGTGGGATGGGATTGATGATAGGAATCAGACACATCCTGGATGTATGGGCAAAGATGAGATGAGGCAGCATAAACAAAATGCAGTGTGGGAAATTCTTAGTAGGATCAGGTGCTAGAGATACAGAACCCCTCTTCCTTTGAGAAATTTAAAACTCAACTGGGTGAGACCTTCAGTGACTTAATCTAGCTGGCCCTGCTTTACGCACTGGGAAAGCTGAACTAAATGATATCCAGGAATCTCTTAGAACTTAAATTACTCTAAATTCAGCTTTAAAATGGTCTGCTGTGGTCTTTTAGTTCAACTGCTTGTGTCCCTTCTTCTAGTCCATTGTTTCCTCACCATGCATTCTTGTACAATCTACTTTTGAGAATAGCTCAGCCCTTTCTGGACTATTGGCAACCTGCATCAGTTGTATTTTAGTTGACATCCTTCTTCAGATTTAAATGGCTGGAGTTTCTTTCCAGAACAAAACACAGCAGTCTGTAGATGAATGTCATGCCAAATTGAAGATGCTCTATGTTCCTGCCCATGTCCTTTTTACTTGCAAGAAAGAAATATCTTGTGTAAATTAACTAAAATAACTGTTTCTGGATCTTATTGCAGGTTTTGGAGAAGGTGGACGTAGAGCAGAAAATGAGTATTCGTTTTCTTCACTGATGGATGGAGAACCTATTCCTTTCTACCCTTACTATAAGATGAATAGAACTTCATTATTTCCTTGCCACCTTCCCCCAAAGCATTGTTACTGGTGCATATAAAATACATCTCCAACCCTTCACTGATTTGTTCTACCAATGTGAACATTCCCTGTGCATCAGGAACTAAGAGAAATAGCTGCCATGGAACTTGGAAAGGAGCATTAAAAAAAATCCTTCCATTTTTAATTTTTACTTCTTCCCTTGTCTCCTTTTGCGTTATGAGTAAATGTTTCTCCTTTTGGTGTACTGCAGTTTAATCTACAAACTGATTCTTCTGAGTTCTGAATCTGAGAATGGAAAAAGGAAAATGCCACAGAAATGCCTTCTGAAATGCTTCTTGAAGATGAGTATCTACTCAAATACTAAGTGCAGTGATAATTGTTCACCTTCGTTTCCAGTAGTGGCTTCACATCATAGCTATCTCTTTCTTCCTTAGTTGGCTCTTTATTTTTTTTCTTCCCTGCTTTCAAATCTTGACGTCTACAAAAAGATGATATAGTTCTTATAGTGTCATTGCAAACTAGCACAGAATGCATGGTAACAGTCCAGAGGTATGTTGTGGAGACTTTCTTCTTTTGGGGATTGATTCACAGTAAGAGAATAGGCACAGTAAAAGAATGTGTGGTGGAGATGGACAGTGGTGTCCTCAAAGGAAATAGGAACTCTGCACTAAGGCACTTAAATAGTTTCTGCATTTGCTGCAGGAATGTTTCTTTCCTATGAATAGCTTCCAAACTTGACATGAAGTCAGGTGAAACATGAAGTACCTTTTCCAGGTTGCTTTACTCTAAGATGCCTCTTCCCATTCGGGTGGCTTTGCCTCTGAAGGTGGAAACTTGTTTACCAGCATACATAATGCAAGAAAACTATTCATGCCAAAAACTGGGATTTGTCTTTCTGTCACTGCCCTGATAAGTGTCATGGAACATTACTGATTTTTTTTTCTTAATTCTAGTGACCTGGACGCTAGTAGTTATTTGCACTTTTCAGTATGGAAGTCCTGGTCTTTTAGATTTGTGTTGATTGTACTAGGTGTGTTTATGGAAGGTTGGGCATGCAAATACTGCTTGGAAGTACATATTTTGAGTACTAGTAGTGATATTTCAGAATATATTCCTACATAAATCTCTCTGCAAGTATAAGATAATTATGCTTTCATTTATCTTTCATTTAATACAGTTAATATATTTACTCCCAATCAAATCAAGATGTTGGAAGTATTGAAGGTTCAACAGCAGCACACTTTTCTGTGGTTAGATTGGCAAATGATCTCACCTAGTTCAGCTGGAGCAGCCTATGGTCTGGGAAGACCTTACAGTAAAACCAAAAAGCTCTAGGAGCTTCTTTATTGAAGAATCAGTGTTACAACTGCTTCTTTGTCATTTGTTTATATTTCTATAAATACTGCCAGTCTCAAACTACCCTCAAATATTCGTTTTATTTTCTTTGTTCCTTGACTCATTTACTTCTGTAAAATAACATGCAGGTCTCTGAAGGATTTCTGGTTTGTTTTAAATTAAGGAATTGCAGAATAAAATGCTATCCTTTGTTTTGCAGTGCGCAGCACAAGTCCAGAAACAAATTAAAAACCTCTGTATGAGGAAAAATGTTTTGACTGTCATGTAAAATAGGATTGTAATAATGTTAATGAAGTCGTTTGTTTTTTGGTTTTTTGGTTTTTTTTTTTTTTTTTTTGAAGTTGTACGCATTGTGATCTGCTTTAAAGTGTTGCTCTCCTATTCTGGCTGTATAGTTGTAACCTACAGTTGTGCCTTATTGTCCCAGTGAGACTGGATATTGTATTTATCAACCCATAAATAAACCTTCCACTGTATTAAAAACAAACAAACACAATTTATTATAATGGATATCCTCAGGCTAGAAAAATTAAGTACCAGTGCAATAGTATAGCTAGCATGCTTTACAAATGAATTCTTGTAACTTTGTTTTGAGAGTATTGCCAAAATCCTTCTTTCTGCTGGTAAAGTGGAAGAAACCAGTAGTCCAAAACAGGACCTCCACAGGAGCACATGCAACACTACAACATGGATTCTGTAAGAACAGGAGCATTACATTTCTCCATGGTTCCAAACAAGGGTGGGGGGTGTTTTGGTGCATTTTTTTCCTTGAGGGTGGAGGAAGGAAAGGGGAAGGAAAAAAGCAGATCTGACTTTCCTATTAGGTGTTCAAATCAATTAGAAGCTGCATGGGATGCAAAGCAATAGGAAGGCAACCTTAGGCTTGTGGAATTTTGTCTTTACTGAAGTTTATAGGCTAGTTTCAGAGATGGGCATTGGTTATTGAGAAGCTGTTTTTATCTTCATGAGAAGTAGCTGATTGATAAGTATTGTTAGCAACCTTCCTCAGGCTTCCGTACCCCCTGCTAGTCAAGGATAAACTACAAAAACATGATTCTCTACTTTACAGCTCAGGCTGTCTACAACTGAGTATCTTATTCAGTGTTCTGCAGCCTGTGTATTTGAGTTGTGAAGTGAGAGGTGGTAGACAAGTTGTACAGAATGGAGATTTCATGTCTTGTTTAATTTAAAATATTTCAAAAGGAATCTGTATACGTATAAGCAGATCTCCGAGAAAAAAAAAAAAAAAAATTGGGAATAGCGTGCAGATGTTAGCAGTGGAGGCGGCAGGTCTCCTTTGACACGACCGCGGGCACGAAGCTGCCCGGTAGGGGAGCGCGGTTGGGATTTCCTGCGGAGCGGAGCGGGCCGCCTGTAGCCGTGATGAGTCAGTGCGCGCTGGGGGTGGTTCTCGGGAGCTCTGTGAATGGATCCGTACTCCTTCACACTACTCGATGCGTTCACCGGTCGTCTTCAAGCGTAAAATTACAGTTGCTGGCGGGGGCGATAAAAATAGATGCATCTGCGCCACGGGATCCGGCAGTGGGAGCGGAGGCAGCCGCTCCAACGAGCGGCCCGCCCCAGCTCGGCTCGGCCGCTCCGCACGCGGCACCGAGGACGTGACCGTTAACGTGCGCCGAATGGAGGGCGGGGAGCGTCGGTCCCGGCGCCAGGGGCGGCCGCCGGCATGCTTTGTGGAGCAGGCCCGCTCCTCCCCGCCTAGCTGCGGCCGGAGAGCCTCAGCCCGCGGGCGCCGCCCGTTCCGCCGGGGCCTCCCTTCCCGAGCCGCTCCTTCCAACTCCCGTGGAGGTCAAGGGAGGATTCGCCCGAGGACGGCCCGCTCGCGCGGCCCGAGCCAGTCGTTCCGCGGGCGTGTGCTCTTCGCGGAGCCAATCGGAAAGGGCAGCCTCAGAGGTGGGCGGCGAGCATCCGTGACGGACGGTGCCGGCTACCAATCGACGTCCAAGCCGGACGGCGGATGCCTGGGAGCGGCATCCAATAGGCTTGCTGCCGAGGGGGCGGGGCGCCGTCGCCGGGAGCCGCGAGCCCCCCGCCGGGTGGCCGCGGTGAGGAGGGGAAGATGGCGGAGTGAGAGGAAGAGGCGGAGGGGCTGGGCCGGCCGCGGCCCCGCGGCCTTGGCCGCGCTCAGGTGAGTGCAGCAGGTGGACGAGGATTCCGTCGGGGGGCCGCGCCCATCCCGCCGCCCCGATCCCTCGCCGGGCCGGGCTCGGCACGGTCGCACCGCCGCTTCCCCAGGCTCTGGGCCGGATCCGGCGCGCACCCGGGCGACTCCCGGCCCCCCGGCCCGCAGCGCGGCCTCCCAGCCGGAGCGGCCCTCAGGGGCAAGATGGGACGGCAGAGCCGCAGGCGGCGCCCCGGTGAGGAGTGGGAGCGGGCCGGGCCCGCCGCGGCCGCCCGGTGGCCTTGGTTGCGAGGGGAACTCGGCAGCGGAGCTGGGCCGCGGTGGGGCGGGGAGCCGAGCCGGGCGGTAGCGCTGCCGTCCGGAGGCTCCGCGCCCTGTTGACGCGGGACGTGGTGGCTCCGGGCCAGCCGTCGCCGTCGGAAAGCGGGAGCGATCCACGGGGCAAAGTAACTTCGGGACGGCGCCCATTGCGGGGTTCGAGGCGAACCGAGCGGCGCGGGTGGCAATCGCTAGGGAGGTGAAAAGGGCCTTAGACGTCGGTAAGCTGTCATTGAGATCCTCCTGCCCTTCCCTGCGTGTACGGGTCTGAAGCCGTCTCTAGCACGGGAGTGCCTTGTGTCTCATGTTTTATAATAGTTCTTTAAATCTAGTTTGTTACGGAGTTCAAAGTGGCTACGTTTTCACTGTCAGGTAAAAGTAAAAAAAGATAACCCACCAAAGTGGCTAAATGAGAAGTTTTAGATCCTGTGTAGACACGGGGCGTCCTCTTGCATGACCTGATAATAAGAAACTTGTTTGTAACCAATGGAATAGCTTGGAAGAAACGTTAAGTGTGATTTGGCAACCAGTTCTAAAAGCAGTAGCTACTTCTAAGACCATTTCCTAAGGAATGCTTTGTATGTGCTGCAGCATGTTTCTATCCCTTATGCTGTATCATTCTCCTAGTAACAGTAAGGGCAGCTTGTGAGCAACCCAATGTTAAGACTGCTGCTGTATACCTGCTTAGACATGTCTATGTATGAATGGTTTGAAATTAAATGATTGAAATATACCAAGCAATTTGCCTTGATTGTATAATGTAAAGAGATAATTTTTCTTTATACTGTAATTAGAAGAATGGTAACCTATCGGCTCTCTTCATGTGAAGCTGTACAGTTTTGAGCAGTAACGAAGTACGTTTGGTTTAGTATATATTCTTAATTGCTTTGAATGCTCGAGAACTTTCAGAAGTCGTACAAAAATAAATTAGAAAAAGAAATTACCCTAGCGTATGCCACACTGACAGATGGCACTGCTTTACAGTCTTGCTTGTGGTGCTGTGAGCCCATGCAATATGTGCCTAGGCTGTGCATCTTACACCTCTCATTGGGATGTCAAAAATTAGGGGCCAACTAAGGCTGAACTTTCTGACCGAGTCTGTGAAGAGTCTGAAGTACCTCTTCAACACCTCCCATGTTCATCCTGTAAAACTAGAAAAGAAATGATGATTGAAAGCAGTGCTGATGGTTACCTGAATGGAAGATGCAAAGGCACAAACAGTTTCCCTAAAATGGGATGTGCAACCAGAGATGTTTCTTTGCTTGAAAAGTAGAGAGCCATAGGACCTATCTATTCCGTCACTATGATATGTATAGAAATTGCAGCTGTGAAACAGCGTTGCCTATTTTATCTACTGCTGTAGGAAGTAGCAGTAAACCAAAAAGATAGGAAATATCCTTAGGAACCTCAGAGGAGGTGAGGGTAAATTTATTTTAAATAGAAACAGGTTACAGTGACTTAGGCTTGGAATCTAATTAACAGCTGGATGTGTGCACTGCCTGAGATGTCCGTCCAGCAGCCAAGGGAGTATGGCAGGAGTATGGCTTACTTCATCTGTCTAGCAGTCAGGGATCTTTTGCAGAGGACAAGGGACATCAGCTGGCAAGTTCTTATGTCCTATGGACTCCCAGCGTGTTGTCTATTCTGTACTGTTGGTGCACTCAGTGTATCCTTTTGGAGCTGACAGTGATCTGTCTCTCCACCCTGTCCCGTTCTGTGAATTGTCACTGTTTTCTCTTGCCAGATGGGATGTCTCCTGAAATTGCAGAAGGATGCACCCGAGGACCTACTAACTAAGGTGCTGATAATGCAAGCCCTTCTGAGAGCCCTGTCCCTGCTCTGTGATGGTATGTATATATACATATACATATTATGATTATGCTACTTCTGTTTTGTAATATAAGCTTTTGTCATTATCAGCTTTCTAGTTACATTTGGCACTTTAAGCTATCAGAAAGTCCTCAATGGACACGGTATCCTAAGTGCTAATTTTGCTTTATGCATTTTCACATATCTCCATCAAATATAACTTTTGACTGTTTGTCTCTGTGACCCTTTTCCATAAGCCTGTTTCTAAGTGTTCCTCGTACACTTCTCAGGTTATACAGTTGTATATTCTTCATTTTAGTGTCCATTCTACTTCTGGTGTGCTGGTTATGTCAATAGATTGACCTTTTCCCCCCCTAGAGTTCACGGAAATTAACCTTTAGTTACAGTAGAGCAAAAGCAATATCAGTGGGCAATAGGTCAAAACTCTGTAAAATAGTAGTTATGAAATGTTTAACAGGAAAGAATCTATATATATAATGCTGAGTTTTCACAGGTATTTCTTGTTCTAGATTATATGTTCAGAGTAATGTATGAAACAAGAAAAATAACTTTTTTTCCCTGCATTTCCCATAGATTTTAATTATGGAGTTGCTGCTGTCACTGTCAGTTACAGTGCCTGCTAATTTTAAATAGCCTTGATTTATATCTGGTTGCATTAGCAAGTTCTTTTGATGCTGTTGTGAACCTTCTCCCACATCACCTATGGAAATCAGATAGAAAGCATATCAAGAAGACTGGTTAAAAACTGGGGTATCCAAAATCAGTGAACTTAAAATAAATAATCAGTATTGGGTGCGACATTATTTTGCATGAGTTACTTTATGTCTCCTGTGGCCTTTTTGTAAAAAGACTTTCTGAAGTTGTAGGTTTAGGACAAGTGAAGGAAAACCCAACTTCTCAAAGACCAATCTTGGACAATGTCTTGTTTCCATTTGCTTGATAAGTAAGCTTGGAGAATTAGATAACTGTTATTTATTAAATCAATTGTTTTGGTAATCAGTTACTACTGATTCCTCAGCCTCTTGGAGCTGCACAGTACTTGTCAAGTTCTTGTGGGGGGCTCAAATCAGGAGAGTCAGAACTGACAACAGGACGATGGTCCAAGCAGCCTGAAGCCCAGTGCTAGGGATCATCTGCTCAGTGCAGATTTTCTGGAGGTGCAGGTCTCTGCTGCTTGCAGAAATACAGAAATTTCATTTAATTTTTCATCTCTCTAGATTCTCTGAAGAGAATGTTGTGTTGAAAAATAGTGGTGAGTGAACCAAAAGATTATTTAGGTACTAAATATAAAATACTAAACTTCTCAGGTTTTTTGTTCCTTTCCTTCTTTCTCTACCTTCCCTTCTTTCCCCTTTTTTCTTTCTTTCCCTTACTGAATGCATCAGTTAGTGAGATTTTAAGAAAAAACTTAGAATCCTTTTAGAGAACTGGAATTTTGTCTCAGTGTTGATTTCAACTTGGGCTTTGCTTGTGGTAAACCTTGATTTAACTGTGTATATGCTAACAGGAATAAATGCTTTGGAAGTTATTAAGTACCTGATCCATGTTGTCATTTTACTCTTCTGAGACAGCAACCGTGTCATTCCATTATCTTAGAGTAGTTATCTTAAAGGTAGATTTGTTAAACAGAAGGATTGGAAGAACAGTAATGTAACCAAATGTCAATTATCAAGTAAAAGAAAGCGAATTCAAAATGTCTGAGTATGACAATCAACTTCTAGAATTTTGATTTGTTTATTTTTCCCTGTAAATGAAGTAGGCATATTCTGGTAGTTAAGATATATAACAGACTGTTAGATTCCATTCTCAGCTTAGCTATAAATCTTTGGCGTGTTTTTTGCATCTCTGCAGGTCTGTTTTTCCTCACCTTCGTGATAAGAATAAGACTTTCCCATCAGTTGTGGGCATGGATACTCAAGCTCATGATCCGCTGAAATATTTGCGTGCCTCATGAAGAAGGTGAAAGGTGATGGCGGTGTGCTGTATTGCCATTTTCATGGCCTACTCGCTACTTCTAATATAGGAGTTGAAAAATATTACCTGAAGATTGTTTCTGAACAACTAAAGGAGTAAGGTAATTAGAGTAATATGAGAAAGGCACACAAGGACAGACCGGGGAAAGGGAGGGGTGGGAAAAGTTAGAAAACGTGACGTATCCTCATGCTCTTATATCTGAGAAAGAAAGTAGAGAGAAAAAACGCTTCCTTTTTCACATCTCTCATTGTTGTATAGGAGAATGCAGGACTGTACTCATGTTACCTTCTAATCCAGGCTGACGTCAACCTTGAAGGAAAAAACAAACATATTTTAACAGCTTCTGTGACTAGGTAATTCTGGGTGTGTCACTGATGAAAGGCCAGGAGATCAGTGACAAGATGGCAGTTGGCGAACTATGTCTACGCTGTGGGCAAGTGTGGAGAAAATGAGTAAAAAAAACCAGCCACCTGATCTGTGATTTTACAGCTGTCATAAGTGCTTTTTTTTTCCGCTACAGCACGGGCAGTTTTGTCATTAATTAGGTAACACTTTAGAGTGTCTCTTTGAATTGGGACCTGCTATAGCAAACTTTATTCTCTCTGTGTGCATTCCAGTACTATCTCAACATTGTCATAGCATATGTCAGAGCCACAGTTGAGAAGTCTCATAGCTTTTTAACATTGGTGTACTTTTGGATGCACTGCTTCTGAGTAAGTGTGTAGTTCAGTATTTCTATAGTATATCATTAGCCAGTTTATGGACATCCAAATGAGGTATATAAGATCTTATAGAACAAGGGATAATTGCAGTCTGAAGCCAACTATTTTTGTCCATTAGAAAAAAGAATTAATGAACCAGCAACTGTATTAATGTGAAGTATGTTTTATTCTGTTTCCTAAACTACCTTTCTTCCTTTTCATTTTGGAATTCCAGATCCTCTCCTAACATTTAAGATGATTGTCCTTTTGCTTGCTCACAGGCTGTTTCTGTTCTAGTGAACAAAACCCTGTCCTTCACTTTCATGGAGCTGGATGAACAAAGATCTCTTCCCTTCTTGTGTCAGCCATCTCACCCAACATTTGATTCCTGAGATTACGTCTCCTACAGAAGGAACCTACTGCTTCATCAGAACTCAAAAGCAAAGTAACAGAAGTCAGCATTAGTTTACCTGAAGAAATGTCTTCAGTGCCAGCTCTTCATTCGGCTATCTGCGCTCTGTTTTAAAATAAGAAAAAACTTTGCAATCAGATGCAAGTGGAAGCTGGTGTTCTTCACTGATATCTTCCTCATTTTCAGAAGATAAGTTCTTCACTGTGTCATATTGAAATTCCTGACATATAAAGTATCTGCATGCATTGCCATGTATGCAGAGAGAAACCAGGACATACTTTCTGCTCTGTTAAGAGGAAGAAACTTTCCAAGCAACTGGAGAAGTCCCACACATAACAGGTATTTTGTAGTTCAGGATCCTGGCTTGACTCTGTAGATAAATGTCTTGATGTTAACTCACACAAAGCAGCTAATGCATAGGAACAAGTGCAGAATCACCTTGTCTGTAGTGTGTAACAGCATCATCCCAATCTGTGATCAAAATGTATATTTGCGTGTGTAAACCCACATAAGTTCTGGCTATGAAGAACTTTGAGCAGAAGGAGAAATTACTCTGCACCACTTCATTTTTAGCAAAGAAAAATGAAGCTTTAAGGACCTCTAGGGTTACAAGATAATGATTAAGTTCACATTAATCATTCCCTCCTTTGGGCTTTTTATGGATCCTTAGCAGCAAAAGGAACAAAACCATTCTACAGTTGAAAAGATGTGACAGAACTTCTTTATTAAAGAAATTAACTTCTGATGAGATGGAAGAGACCCAAGGTATAAAGCTGCAGCTTACCCCCTGGGCTTCCATGACACAGATTCAGCTTTTTCATATTGCTGATGGAATCAAATTCTTAATTCTTTTGCGACTGAGAACTGAGACGGCTTGTGTGTTTCCATCGTCTAGGCCCAGAATGAGCTCAGCCATATGAGAGGTACGAGTTGAGAGATAGCAGAAATGCTTAGAGTGGGCCTTTTTCTGGTTCCTCTTATTCCTTCCCAAATTAAGGCGCTATCTGTTGTTCTTATGTTTACACTGGGTTCTCTGTCTCCGTTGTTAGTGATGAAATAAGATATTTTCAATCATTTTGAGGTGGGATCTTACACTGTTCACACGCTCCTTGTTGTGTTATTGGATATGGCAAGTAAGATTTCTTGGAAAAAAATAATCTCCATTTCAAGTCTGGATTTCTTAGTGCACCTTAATCCAAACATTACAAAATATGATTTAGCTTAAAATATTTTTAAATCTTGATCAAATAAGGGGTATAGGCTCTAGTACTATGTTTTGGGGAATAATAGCATGGTTGGGTGGGGTGTTTTGTTTTGTCTTTTGTTTCAGAAGACTACTGGAGAGAGCCAGACGGACTGAAAATGGCTGGAAAAGCCAACAATTGAAATCTTTCTTAAACCTTACTGATAAATTGCAAGGGTGGTGTTCTGAAACATAAAATGGGGTGAAATTTTATGGGGACCAAGTTTCCATGGCAGAGGAAGGACAGATGTTGGTACTGATCCTGTTCCTCAGAGTAAGGTTAGATCTGTGTTTAGACTTGCATTGTAACAGTAAGATTTAGTGAAAGCCCTTCCCGTTTTTTTGGGTCTGATGCATGGAAACATGTAAGCTAAGCAGGGTGGTTAAGACACTGCGTATCAAAATTATGCCCACTGTAATGAGCAGAGGTGCACTTAAATTATATGCAACATTGTGATAAGCTGTGTTCCTTTTATTAGTTTAGATGAGTTACATTAATCCTGTTGAGGCAACCACCAACTTGGCCTGATTTCTTTTAAGAATATAGGATTTCTTTGTTGAATGTGATCTGAATTTTCTGGTACTAGATGCATCTAGAAAAGCACATTTTTCATTTAGAACCTTCTTATGTTGAAACCAATAGGAAACATCTACCATAGTAGATGTCTGTAGAAGCAGGATCCATCTCTAACTGATGGAAAATACTGTTAATATCTTAGGATTATATGTTGAAAAGTGTCTGGTATAAAAATCATCTGATTCTGAATCTTGGTACTTTTTTACTTCCTCTTGCCCATACTCATCCTTCTGACATCAGAGCTAGCAGTAGATTCTCGCATAGCTTGATAACAAAATACTGGGGGGCAGGAATGAAATATTTTCTTCTGTGGGTATGAACAAAACCTTAAAGGTCTTTCTGACTAGAGAGTAGATGCTTTCAGCCCTTTCCACTTCTGTAAGAATAACCCTCAACGTTTTGGAACCCTGCGTTGTAACAAAAAAAAAAAAAAGAACTGACTTCTAACCCTGGCAATGGAACAATGTTAGTTTTCAAGTTGTAGCTTAGAACATAATATTTTTAGTGGGGCTAAAGATCTGTGGCTTTCGCAGAAGTAATACTCCAATAATGTGTGCCCAGAAGACCCCACTGCCATACCTTTCCAGCGGCCTCTTATAAAGCCGCTGTTAGGAAATGCTGCCTCAACATACTTACTTTTTCTTGCTCCACTTTTTCTCTGTGTTGGTTGGAAATCTTCCTGTGTGAAAGATTACAGAAACAAGGGGCATGTGCAATAGATCATATATATATATACATATATATATTTTAATACTTGTGGACAAAATGATGTTACAAGTTGTTTGAAAACAACAAAATCACCAATGTCTTCCATTTTGAGATGTGTATAGTTCCATAAGCATTAGTGCTTTGTAGCAAACTGTAGTGCCATGTTAGGATCAGTGCATGAGCCTAGTAGTATTTTTACAATTTCAGAGTGACAAATTTATTAATAAACCGTGATGATAATGTAATTAACAATAGAAAGGATACAGTAGAAATATCACAAACATGGTCTAAGTATGCAGTATCCTCCCTTTGACAATGCTATCGTTAGAAATGGGCTTCATCGAATCATCGTTAGTGTTTTGTTTTCAGTGTATTATTGTAAACTAGTGTACGTAAGCATCCAAAGTTCTCATCTCTGTCACAGGTTATCCTTTTCTTTTTAGTCTCTGTTGAAGGTGTTTTCTTCTCTGAGCAGCATTTTCAGTTTTAGTATTACCCATCATATGATATTATCAGAATTATGAATATGTTGAAGAGTTAGCGTACATTTTTTGCACCTCTCTGCTACCTTAATATTATTTACAAAATCTGTTAAGTTAAAAACATACATATATTTTGAATCTGATTATGTAATTACAATAAACAATACATTACTCTCATTTAGTTGCTGGTAGCAAAATGCTATCTGCCAATTTTACATAGAAGACTTAATCAATTTGTGCAATAATGGATAGGTTTGTTGGTTTTTTTTTCTTTTCTGAAGTCCTATTGAATCTTTTAACACCTTTGGTGGATCCTGCGTTTACACACATCTTAATAAGAGAGAATGTAGTAGGGTTAAGGGCTGTTGAAAATCAACATTACAGCCTGTATCTGTTCAGCAGGCAATATTTAGCCTATGGATCATAGATTCCCCACCTATTGAGGATTCAGTATCTCGTATTTTGGGTACCTCCCAGCATTGCTTTCCAGCTCTAATCTCAATTTTAATAACTTACATTTCTCCCTCTGCTTTTTTCAGAAGGAAAACTTAGACCCGGGGAAGTTGAACTGATTTAGCACTCAGTGGGCAGCTTGGGCTGGTCAGATAAGAGAGTGGTATGATTGCTGAGGTGTGTAGTGCTCTGTGGATGGCATCCTCTGATTTCCTAGGAAAAAAAATCTTTTATTTGGTGCCAGTGTTGCTCTTCACACACTTCTCTCTTTACGAGAACAAAATTCTCTTGTCGGTCTAGAGAGGATACTGCATCTTATTTTTCCTGAGACCTGCCTGTAAATGGCCATTAGGAGGGGGGATGGAATGGGTGGCTCGGTTTTGTAATTTTAATAAGATATATCTCTAAAGTAATTAATCAAGTAGCATGTTCTTTGATGCAAAACCAGTAATCCTTGCGGAGTTAGTGTAGATAACAAGGTCCCCCCTGTCTCTCTGCATCCAATGCTTTGCCAGGAAAATTGGGTGGTTGGGCCATTTACAGCAGAGTTCTGGGGGACTTGTGCTCATTTAGGTTCAATTCTGAACAGAAGTAGTTGTACCATTGAATAAAGTAGTTTAGTGCTTGGGAGAATCAATTGAAAAAAATACCTCTGAAACTGGAATGCAAAATAGCACAGTACGTAGGGGGAAGAATCCCTGATGCAAACAAAGCCATAAGATGATTTAATAAGAAAATAGAACTTTAGTAGCAATAACTGTTTTGCATGTGATAGTAAATAACTTGCATTAGCAAGGCTGTACAGTAGAGTAGGTGGGTAATAACCAAATAAGTTTGTGGCGCTCTGTGCTGCAGGGAGTTGGGTGAAAAGTCTCTTTTCCTAAGATGGGTGAATTCCTCATAGTGTTCCTCTCATTGGAGGGAATTTGGCACTTGAATACTTAGTTCATTAACCTTATACTACTGTTGAGCTGTGTCACATATCTGAAGCACTGTCAGTGAGTGCTGGGAAAAAGCAGGCAGTTTTTTCTGAAATATCTTTTCAGATAGCTGAAGTTTCCCTGTTTCTTTTTCATTTTTCGTAGACCAGTGCTTGCTCTGCCTCTGAAGGGAAACTAGACCCTTCCAAATACTGGACTGTGGAAAGAAACTTTCTGAAATTAGAATTTTATTGTAGGTACTTCTTTGTTTAAAAAGACCTATCTTTATATGAATGACAGGTCTTAAAAAATAAAATAGAGAGTATTTGTATACTCCAAAGGAGATTTTCAGGATTCTAAAAATGTTACTGTACAGCAAAAATAATTTTAGACTTGCTAAACATTCTGTTTCAGACCATTGGTTTCTGTTAGTGCTTGAAGTCTAGCCAAGGCAAGCACTGTGAAGCCTCTGGTTACAGAAAGGGATATTGATCTACAGCTGTAGCCTCTGTACCCAGCAAAGCATTTGCTGTCAAAGTGTTACATAAAGGAGCCACAGGAGTTCTAAAGCATCCATAGCTGACTGTGATTTCAGTGCAGGTACAGAAGTGTGTGGAGACTATATGGCCCACAGATGGTACTGTATTCTGAACAGAATTACTGCATCAGAAGCTTAGATCTATCTGGCTAGATTTATTCTAGAAAGCTGAAGTAATTTGGAATGCAGTTTCCAGCTGGAGGGAGGCTTTGAATGTTCCGAGGTGACCTAGAATGAAGCCTTTTGGCTCTTCAGAAGTTGGTAGTGGGATTGTTAAGGGCTGTGAGCATTTTTACAGTATGAAGTAACCAAGATAAGCATAAACATGTCTAAATTGGTTCATATGTAATGAGTACGAAAAGATAATTGATCTAGGAAGTTAAAATCAGCTTAAATTCCAGCTATTGAATTATTGATA